TAAATTCTGAAGGGTTTTTTTCTTTTTCTTTCTTTCTTTCTTTTTTTTTTTTGAGACAGTCTTGCTCTGTCACCCTGGCTAGAGTGCAGTGGCATCATCGTAGCTCACTGCAACCTTAAACTCCTGGGCTCAAGCCTCCTGAGTAGCTCCTGCCTCAGCCTCCTGAGTAGCTGGGATGAGAAGCATGCACCACTACACCTGGCTTATTTTTCTATTTTTGGTAGAGATGGGGTCTTGCTCTTTCTCAGGTTGGTCTTGAACTCCTGACCTCAAGCGATCCTCCCACTTGAGCCTCCAAGAGTGCTAGGATTACAAGTGTGAGCCACCATGCCCAGCCTAACTTCTGAAGTTTTTGAGGGAAAGGAGTGTATCATAACAATCCATAGTATCCTACAGCATCTACCTTACTTTTAAGATATCCTAAAGGTAATATAATGCAGCATTTAAGAGACTCTGGAGACAGATCATCAGGGTTCAAATACTGGTATTGCTGTTTACCTGCTGGGTAATTTTAGGCAAATGGTTTATCCTCTTGCTACCTCAGTTTCCTCATGTATAAAATGGCGATAGTAAGAGTACCTACCTCATAAAATTATACCCAGGATTAAATTAATCAATATATAAAAAGTTCTTGGAACAGTATCTAGAATCATGGTAAGATCTCAGAACCCACTCTAACCACTAAAAGAGAAGTGATTAAAAGAGAACTAGACATACATGATGAAAACTGTCTTACACATTTTCAGTCCAACTGCTTTGAGAAGAGATGCATATTTTATGTACCCTCCCTCCCAGAAAAAATGTATATATGTACATTTATTTCCTCTTTCAGCATATTTTGACAATAGATATGTATTACTGTGAGAGAGTCTAATCTTTCCTAATTCATTTATTAATATAATGTAGTATACACTGTTGATATACCTACATTTCCTTCCTTCTTCCATGTTGGAAAAACGCTGATTGTGTCTTATGTTCCGCTTCTCATGAATGTGAGTCAGATATATCCTCGCTGGTCTTAATTACTCATGAAGATCCAGTGTACTCCCCTTGCCAATGACTGGCTTAGGAGTGGGCATGTGACCTGGTTATGGCCAATGAGATATTAGGGGATGTGCATTGGGAAGCTTCTGGGAAAGGATTTAACTTTTTATTAAGGGAATGTACTTTTTCTACTGCAAGATACTCTCTGATTTGTCCTTAATGCCTATAACTAAAATAACCATTCTACAACCTCGAGGGATGGAAAGCCTGAGGAAAATCACTTTCATAATGGCAAAATGGAAAGGTGGGCAGAGTCATGGTTCTTGATGATACTGTTGAGTGAACCACAGAAATAACAATCCTAGAAGCACTCTACCTTTAGGCTTTTTTTTTTTTTTTTTTTTAAAGAGACAGAGACTTGCTCTATCTCCCAGGCTGGAGTGCAGTGGGGCGATCATAGCTCACTATGACCTCGAATTCCTAGACTCAGGCGATCCTCCTGCCTTGGCCTCCCGTGTAGCTAGGACTGCAGGTGCATACCATCATGACTAGCTAATTCTTTTAATTTTTTGTAGAGACACAGTCTTGCTATGTTGCTCAGGCTGGTCTTGAACTCCTGGTCTTGATACTCTAGCCTTGGCCTTCCCAAGTGCTGGATTACAGGTGTGAGCCACTGCACCTGGCTTATACCTTTAGACTCCTTTTCATGTGATATGGTAACTCTCATAAGCCATTGTGAGTTGGATTTTGTTGTTACTTGCTGCTGAAAACATTCTAAGTAAGACAACTTTCATGAAAGTCTATCTTTGAGTAACAGCGTAAGGGTGTGTATGTGCGTATAATAAAGCAAAGAATACAAGTAATAGGAAAGTATTTTGTTTAAAAAGTACATATTTCATCTAATATCTGCTCTTTGATTTATTCCCAATATTTTGTCATGAAAATTGTCAAACATACAGCAAAATGGAAATAATTTTACAGTGAACCCTCATATACCATTAACATTTTACTATACTTGCTTTATCATGTATCTATTTATCCTTTTGATGTCATTCTTTGATGATTTCAAAGTAAATATCGGTTATCAGTACACTTCCTCCTAAATACTTTAAAATGCATATCATAAAGCAGTTTACTATATCTTTACAGCTTTTTTTCTTTACACTAAAATTTACATACAATGAAATGTACAAATCCTGGCTGTACATTCAATGAGTTTTGACAGATGAATATAACTATATAATGCAAAATCTTATGAAGATATAAAATGTTTCCATCAACCCAGAAAGCTCCCTCATGCCTCTTCCCAGGAAAATTCTACTCCTACTCCCTCCACAAGAGATAATTACTCTTTTGATATTTTTCCATACTCAATTAGTTTTACTTTTTCTAACATTTCATATAAATGGAATCATGCATTATGTATGTTTTTAGGTAGGGTACTTTCACTCAGCATGTTTTTAATCCATTTATTTTGTATGTATTAACATACAGATGCTGTACATATTTTTTTTTGAGACAGAGTCTCACTGTGTTGCCCAGGCTAGAGTGCTGTGGCGTCAGCCTAGCTCACAGCAACCTCAAACTCCTGGGCTCAAGCCATCCTTCTGCGTCAGCCTCCCGAGTAGCTGAGACTACAGGCATGCGCCACCATGCCCGGCTAATTTTTTCTATGTATTTTTAGTTGTCCAATTAATTTCTTTCTAATTTTAGTAGAGACGGGGGTCTCACTCTTGCTCAGGCTGGTCTCGAACTCCTGAGCTCAAACAGGCCCGCCTCGGCCTCCCAGAGAGCTAGGATTACAGGCGTGAGCCACCGCACCCGGCCATATTTTTTAAAGTATATACTTATGTATTTCATTTTCTCTAGTGTAATTATAAATTATATTGTATTTTTAGTTTTGATTTCTGCACGTTCATTGTTAAAATGTAGGGATGCGATTGATTTGTTTTTGTGTGTTGCTCTTGTATCCTGTGACCTTATTGAACTCACTTAATGGTTTTGGGAATTTTTTTGTAGGTTCCTTAGAATTTTCGATGTACACAATCATGTCATTTGCAAATAGAGACAGTTTTATTCCTTCTTTTCCAATCTGTTTATTTATTTATGCTTTAGTACATAAGTAGTGGCTAAAACTTCCAGTACTATGTTTAATAAGAGCAGAGAGAGTAGACATCCCAGCCTTGTTTCTGATCTTATAGTGAAAGCATTCAATCTTTTACCATTAAATATGATGTTAAAGGTAAAGTTTTTGTAAATATTCTTCACAAAGATTAAAGGAAATTTCCTCTATTCCTGACTTACTGAGTGTTTTTATCAAGAGTGGGTGTTAGATTTTGTCAAATGATTTTTCTGTGTCAATTGATATGATCATATTGATATTTCTTCTTTAGCTTATTAATTTGGTAAATTACACTGATTCATTTTCAACTGTTGAATCAGCCTTGCATACTTGGAATAAATTCCACTTGGCCATGGTATATAATTTTTTTTATATATATTGTTGGATTCTGTTTGCTGATATGTTATTAAGGATTTTTGTATCAAAATTTGTGAGAGGCCGGGCGCGGTGGCTCACGCCTGTAATCCTAGCTCTCTGGGAGGCCGAGGCGGGCGGATCGTTTGAGCTCAGGAGTTCGAGACCAGCCTGAGCAAGAGCGAGACCCCAGTCTCTACTAAAAATAGAAAGAAATTAATTGGACAACTAAAAATATATAGAAAAAATTAGCCGGGCATGGTGGTGCATGCCTGTAGTCCCAGCTACTCGGGAGGCTGAGGCAGGAGGATCGCTTGAGCCCAGGAGTTTAAGGTTGCTATGAGCGAGGATGACGCCACGGCACTCTAGCCTGGGCAACACAGTGAGATTCTGTCTCAAAAAAAAAAAAAAAAAAAAAAAAAACCTTATGTTTACGGTATGGGCTAATTCAGGAGTATTACATTATTTTAAACAAAACCAGAGAGTTTTTCTAAAATGACTGCTTGGCTTTGAGCCTCCTCACTTGACTGTGAGTGTTCCCTTTGTGCTACTTCCCAGAGAAAATCTGTCTTTACAGCTCTCCCAGCTGTATCTCCCTGTTCTGTTTATTTTATGCTTATTGGTGAGTTGGCGGTGGCAGGATAGGGAAGAAGGGCATTCTCTGATATTCTCAGTAAGCCTCAGTCTTAGGTGAACCTGAGTCTCAGGATAAGTTCCTCATGAGTGTTTTGGTCCCTCCTTCATAAGTAATGCTGGACCTAGCATGTATTCCTGCCCCTCCCCCAATGATAGAACTGTTGTTGCTTTCTTTTTCCAGTCATCCTCCTCCCAGCTGCCATGGGTTTCCACAGGTGCTCTCAGGTGGTAGTTTTTATTGCTCTTCTCCTTGTAAAGCTTTTGTTCCTTCGGGGAAAGGAAGACAGATCTGTCTAGACAGAGTTTTCAGTGGCGAGTGTGGTCCCCTTGCGCAGATACGTAGGTTTTGCACCAGTGTCCTTAGCTATAGTTTTTCTTGCCCTTCCCCTGCAGATTAAGCGTTTGGTCTGTAGGGAAAATAGGGAAGATGGTTTGTGACCGTTCTTCCCCTACACAGCCAGTGCCATAGGGAAAAGCTTTCTCAGGATTCTTCTCAACCTTCCTGTAAGCACTTGGTGGGTTTCTTAGAAGAAAAGCCTGCTAGAGGGTACAAACCTTCATATTTCGGGGACCCCCAGGGGATTCACATTTTTACAGTAGCCCACATTTTGCTCTTAGTAATTTATTAAGGACTTTTAGATGAATCAGTCTTCTTACTCAGTGGCTTATGTCCAGGTAAACAAATGTTGGGGTTCTGTTTTTCCCTCCAGGTACCTGTCTGTATCCAGATTTTGGGGTACTTGATAGATCTGGGACCTCAGTTCTATCATGGATCTGTCCATTTAATTTGCAATTCATCCAGCTTTTTTCTCGTTGTAAGGCTAAGAGGATACTGTTTCTCGAAAGAGCTGAAACTGGAGGTTTTAAAGTCTAATTTTCATAGCATTTTTCTTTTTGACCATAGGAAGCAGAAACTCAATATGAAGAGCAAATTGGTAAAATTATTGTGGAGACAGAAGAACTTAAATGGCAAAAGGTAAGTATTTTTTTCCCTTCGGATTAGGATTTTTAGTATCTATTTTAAAGTATATTCTAATCCTCATTGCAAAGTTAATTTTTACATTTTCTAACATATTTGGGGGTAGTGCATTATTTTAAATAAAGTTTCAAGAAAATCCCAAATAAAACTGTTGGTAACATTTGGGCTACCAGAAAACAGAATAAAAACTTTGTTCAGGCTTTTTCATATTATAACACTGAAAACTACTAAGCTATGAGCTATTTTACATCTGAGAAACAGTGTATGTTACAGGGGAATTAGAATATTTTGAAAGCAATGAAACCTCATAACTAGTGCCATATTTTCCAAGGGTGTTGTTACATAATGTAACAAAATATAAAAAAATAGTATCAGCTCTCATTTTCTCTGTAGCTTTATTTGTAGTGAAGTACTTATGGCATTATTTCTCGTATGTTCCATCAAAGTAATTTTAACAGCTAAAAATTGCAAGCTTAATTATGATGGTCCCTGTTCTCAGTATTTGGCAATATTGACACAGGAACTTGAGGGGGGGGGTAACACATCAGAATCAGAATTCTAGACCAAACTAGAAATTATTGGAATTTTGAGGCCAGACAGATCCGCAAGGTTGTACAGAATATATGTGAGTAAAACCAAGGTTGGATTATATGAGGGACAGATTGGAAACAGACCTGTCTGTGGAGAGAAAGAACAGGTAAATACAAAGTACAAATTAAAGCTCAAAACAGATTTCAGAATGTGAAGTCATATCTTGTTTTTGGATAGAAAGAGTCAATAGCATAAAGTTATCAGATTCACTAAGTTAATCAATAAATCTAATAAATCCAATTTAAAATATGAAGAGCATATTCAGGGCACTTAAGCTGATTCTAAGGTTTATGTGGAAATAAACATACAAGGGTGGCAGGAAATTTTTATAAAAGAAGGAGATGAAATAGCCATACTTGATTTTAAACATATTATAAAGCTATAATAATTAAAATAGCTTGGTAGGGTATATAGTTAGTTATTCAATGGAACATAATAGAGTCCAGAAATCTAAATACATGAGATAATTTAGTGAATGGTAAAGGTGGCTTTCAAATCAGTGGGAAAGAGCAGATTATTCAAGAAATGGTATTAGAGCTGGGTTCCATCTGAAGAAAAAGCCAGATTCCTAACTTACTTTACAAACTTGTAGAAAAAAAGGAACTTTCATGTGTTGTTGGCAGTGTAAATTAGAAGTGCCTTGTCACATTCCCCAGAATATCACCAAAGAACTTGTTAATAAAGCAGCTATGTTTAGTAGAACTCATTTCAGTAAGTGAAAACACTACAGAATCTTAGTAATGTTTCAAAAGGGGCAAATCATAATTGGAATATGTAGAGGGCTATGAGGTCTAGGCCTGAGTGACTTTAGACAGATCTTTTAAGGCAGGGTATTGATTGGGATTGGGCAAATTTTGTAACATAGTATTTTAAGATTGGTGAATATAGCAACATGAGGTTCTTGAAGCTAGTCTTGAGAGTAAATTATTGTTTGATAAACCAGGTGTTTACCCAAATAAACTATTGTCTCAGATAATTTTTTTGTAGCCTGAAACAGTGATATAATTTATTGGTTTTTATAGTCTTATATTTACTGGGTAAAGGTTTCCTGGAACAGAAACTGAGTTGTGATGATACAGGTATTCTCAGTTGTTAGTACTAATAGTTCTGTTGTATTGATTCAGGTGGTTTCAGTTCTCAGTCTCCCTTTGCTTCTTCAGCCTGAGCTGGAGAATAAAACTTTGTTATTTAGAATGTGATCAATCAAGATTTATGCTGCTTGATGATGAGTCTATGAGAGCATATAAGGTTGTTTCTGGTGATGGGTGTGTGTGAGTGTGTGCGTGTGTGTGTATGTGTGCGTGTGTGTGCGCGCGCATGTGCGCGAGGGTGTGTGTATCTATATATATCAGTTTTTCCTATTCTTTTCTTGGATGATCATTTGTTGGATCATTTAATAAGACAGTGGCTGTGCAATAGTATTTAAGACTCCAGAAGTTGTATATTTGAACACACCGACATGGAAAAGTACTAAGGAAAAGATTATCATCAGAATTTTTAGATCACTTTTAAGCCAGCAGCCAAGAATACCTGTATTAAACCAAAAGAACGGAGGCCATCCCCAAATCATAAACAAATTTCAGTTAGTAATTGGACTCATACCATAGAGTGGCCAAGAATGCAGAGAGCAATATTAAGGATAAAGACCTTAGAAATATCATAGTTAATAAATAGTATGTGTTTACTCACTTAAGGTTCTGGATTATTAACAAAGAGAAAAGCAATTATCTAGGAAAATAAAGAACAAATGCCTGCAAATCAAAGCATCACAATCTGTGGCTCTGATTATCTAGATTGGATATTGGTGTTTATATAAAGAGTCATAGTAAATATTTCAGGCTTTGTGGACCATGTGGTCTCCGTCACTACCACTCAAATCTGTTGTAGTGTGAACCAGCTCATGGGCAGTACTTAAATGAATAAATGTGGCTATGTTACTATAAAACGTTATTTATAGACACTGAAATTTAAATTCATACAATTTTTAAAGTGATTTGAAGTATTTTTAAAATTCTTTTTCTTTTTAGCCATTAAAAAAGTATAAAAACAATTCTTAGCTCACAAGCCATACAAAAATAGACAGTTGGCCAGATTTAGCCTGTGGGTCATGGTTTGTTGACCCCTGATCTAGATCTTATTCTGTAGGTCTTGGATGGAGGCTGTCTGTATCATATATTTAATAGTTTCCTTCTTGATCCAAAGATCTTGGGTGGAAGCTGTTTCTTTCTGAAGACAACCTGCTTCTGAAATTTTCTCGATTCCTTAGTTTTAAATTTCTTGATGGAATGGTAGTCCAAGCATTGGAGAGTGAAACCTAGTGTCTGTTTATTTAGGAGACACGAATCCAAGGATCTATGCCCTGGAGTTTAGCTACTGTGCTAGCAGTCCAAGTACCTGATAGGATGGGTCATTTTCAGAAGACATTATCTCCAAGTTTTAAGTTATGTAGAGGAAAGGCAACTTTTATCTGTTGGTGATGAAACTATGAAGCATATTGCATGAGTCTCTTGGAGTACTTTACCACATTTTTCTGAAGTAAGGAAGTGTCCAAAATCAGAGAAGTAGTCAACTTCGTATGGCAATTTCTAACAAGTTTAAATGGTGAAAGCCAATGAGTGTCAAGAGTATTGACTTCATGGTATTGTGAGTTAGAGGTAACCTTTTCTTGCTCTTGGAAATTCAACAGTGTTAGATTTAATATGCCATTAGCTCTTGACTTTTCCTGAAGATTGAGGATGATGGAGGCAATGAAGTTTCTAAATAAGTGACAAGGCTTTGCAAAGTTCTCTAATGACAGTCCCAGTAAAATGAATGCCTCTGTCACTGGAGATCCTCAGGTTGGAAATAGAAAATCAAATTTTTTCCTACTTACAGAACTGTAGCTCTCTGGCAAGAAAAAGTATCAGTTTATCCTAAGAAAATATAAGCAATGATGAGAAAACCTTCAGAACCCATTGAAGGGATTGTTTTTAGGAAGTCCACTTGGAAGTGATTATAGGGACCCTGAGACTTGGATTTACAAGGATAACAGTTTTACCAGAATGGTGCTGGTGACAGAAATGTGCAACAGAGACATCCTCAGCAAGCATAGTAAAATTTCCCCACCAGTGCTAATTGAGTATAATATTCAATTTGTTCTTGCTCTGATGGGTAATTTTATGTAAAATTTTTGCAAAGTTCTGTTGAGGTCCTCTGGTGCCACCAAGTGTCTGTCCTGAAAGTGTCCTGAAAGATTTTCTTTTTGTAATTTATAATCATGTTTTCTTTTTAGACTCTGGAGCCAGTTGTGAGCCTTACAAAACAGCCTTTTTAAATTTCTCCAAAGGTTTGGCTTTTTGGGATATCACAAGGGTCAGGACCCTCATGTGTCATGAAGATTAGGACATTTCCTTTAGCATTTATGTTATCCCTTTTGGTGTGGCTTTATGATAGCCACCTCCTTAGGAAGCATTAGAGCACTTAAAATTGTTAACCAAGTGAAATTGGGATTCCTACTGAGGTCAGAAACCCTCATTGTTTCTACAGTATTCCAAAACCCTGGATAACTCCAAAGGCGTAGCTGCCGTTAGTATTAACTCTCTTACCTCTTAACAATCGACAAGTTTTGCTGAGTAGTATAAGTTCTGTCATCTGGGCTGATTAAAACTCTGATAAGGGAGTCATAATTTAGATGTCAGTTGAGACTGTTGACAGTGTATCCTGCCTAATATTTTTACCCTTTCAATTTCAAAAAATGACCTATCAACAAAAAAGATTAAACCTAGATTTAATCTAGGGGGAGTTCCCAATAAATCTTTTTGAGGCATAGTCATTGCTCAGAGACTAGATCATCATGGATTTCCCCTTCTTTGGGTAATGGAAAAAGAGTACCAGGCTTTTAAAAAAAAAAGTTTCTCTGTAAGCAACATTTATTAGAAATAAAGATCAAAGAGATATTTTACATAGGAAGTTACTTCAAAATATCTCTTGAAAGAAAGTTTGCCAGGTACTCTGTTCAATCCCCATCTCTCTTCAGACATTAGTGTGTGTATATATATTTTTTTTTCATTAAGAGATAAAAACAAGCTCTCGGGAGGCCGAGGCGGGCAGATTGTTTGAGCTCAGGAGTTCGAAACCAGCCTGAGCAAGAGCGAGACCCCGTCTCTACTAAAATTAGAAAGAAATTA